ACAAAGCAGTAAAACTTCTCCTGAAACTGCATCAAGATGAAGGCCTGGTTTGTTTTACTGATCCACAATTGTTTTGTGCTTATGTCTCCAATTTTCCCTTGATCATCTACTTTTCTTCTTCTGTTGCATTTCTCTAAAGGCATCTTTTCTCAATTGCTCCCAATGAGGAGAGAGCGTATGCAGCCATATGCGGCCGCCTTGAGAAAAAGCACCGCACCCAGCATCTCTTTTTGGAGTGTGCCGCCTTTTTTTGTGCCGAGTTGAAAATTTCTCAACTTTTCAAAACGGTGTCGTTGATGAAAGGTGAGCTCTGTCTGACATTATAGCCAAACCAAACCAGCTGAGTCTGATAAGTCCTAAAATGGCCACTCAATAAACGCCATTTGGATTCAGGTAAGAATGTGACCTTTCTTTCGGTGCTACACACGGGATGATCTTTACAGTTTATTTCCTGGTAAGTAATGGACATAACAGCCTCATGAGGTAGGGCTGCCTCGTAATGGTCAACCAAATGCAAGTTGACCAGAAAGGTCATCAGTCGGCAAGATTTCATTGGTTGCTTGGTCATAAGAAAAACAAACAAACAAACAAAAGAAAAACGTAAAACTCTACTATCAAAATAAATCCAATCCTATAACCAATCACAGCCGACAGATATCTATCCCTTTTTTCCATAAATATTTATTCTGATAAATATGGAGAAGTTGATCATGTTGGTGCAGGGCTACCCAGAGCTTTACATCTGTCCCACAGACGATAGGCCTTGAACTACATTCAAAGCCCAGAAAATGAACTTGGGTACGTTCATGCCTTCTGTTTTTTAAAATAAATAAAAGGCCATTTTCCTAACCCTAACCCTAAAATTGTTGTTTCAAATTCTTTGCTCATGTGCAGACTTGTTTCAGCCCAGAAGAGCACATTCACACATCATATAAATGTTTTCTGTTGGAAGTCCTTCAAATACCCATAGGAACCGGCTTTAGCAGTACCAGTAGCTGTGTTATGTCGGCACACAAGTTCAAGTTTCGTTCACTAAAAATATCAGCACAACACTGGTTATAATACACATAAAACCAGAATACTTCAGACACCAAATGTTAAATTTACATTTCAGATGGTTTGGGGCACTTTGGGGCACTAAAGATGATGAATGAAATGATTAAACTTCCATTTAGTCAATGACCACACAGTGTTGCATGAGAGGGGAGAATACTGTGTGAACCATTTGATGAAAATTAATCAATGACTGATTTCATCTATTCTTATTCAACTGTTGCATTGAGGGATGTTTGTCTCTTACTGCCCTCTCTGTCATCAGTCTGGTTGACCCATTGTACAGCATTTTGTCCTCCGTTTATAAAACAAACCCTTAATACTAAATAACACTTTCTGGAACCTAAAAGCACCAAAGACCATTCAAAAATACAGACTGAAAACACCGACACAATTAAGGAGCGAACGACTTTGTCAAACCTATCACACAGACACACAGACACACAGACACACACACACACAGACAGACAGACACACACACACACACACACACACACAGACACACAGACACACACACACAGCGGCACTTAGCACCCAGTTAAGAGCTATTTCAGGGACACCTTCTATTTCCTCCTGCAAACAGCGTGTCAGCACCTCTTGCCATTAACGCTTCAATCTATTCCATTAAACGCTAACAAGCGGCAGCGAGAACAGGCCGCCGCCGCGCCAAATTTACACAAATACTGGCATAATCAGCTCTCAGTATGAAGCTCTTCATGTCACAATGCTCAGCCAGGAGGAGGTGGCCGATGAGCATGCACACGCCATCCTCCTCACACAAAGATAATTAATGAAATGTGATTTGTATGTGAAGGGGAAGAGGGGGAGGTAAGGAAAGAACAAGATGTGCAAGTGTGGAAGCGAAGACAAAATACAAAACAAGTTTGGAAGAAGAAAAGGACAAACAGAAACTAGAATTACCACCTCATGGCTATATGCCTCAAGTTACACTTAAAGTTTATACTCATGTTAGTCAAAACATAGACACTTCACGTACATTTTCCCCCCATCAGCACAGACGATCTGTACAATCAGCACAGTTTCAAGGTGGACACTCAAGATTAGACTCACCAATTCAGTATCTGACCAAATGTCTCCCTTTGTTCCTGAGATATGACGTTGAGTAATGGCCAGAAAAGTGTTTGCAGAAAATTATGATGTCACAGTGAAGTTAACCTTTAATCTTTTAGGTATAAAATGTCATCACTTCATTATTTTATCCTGTTATCAAAATTTGTGTGAAATTTTGTCATAATTATTGTACGAATTTCTGAGTTATGGCTAAAAACATTTTTTGTGAGGTCACAGTGACCTTGACCTTGAAACTTCAACCACCAAATTCTCATCAGTTTAATCCAGTCTAAGTGGATGTCTGTGCCAAATTTGAGCAAACTCCCTCACGGCCTTATTGAGATATCGTGTTCAAGAGAATGAGAAGAATACAAGGTCACAGTGACCTTGGCTTTGACCTTCAACCACCAAAATCTAATCACTTCATCCTTGAGTCTAAGTGGATGCTTGCGCCAAATTAGAGGAGACTTCCTCACGGTTTTCCTAAGATATCGCCTTCAAGAGAAAGAGAGGGATGCAAAGTCACGGTGATGTTGACCTTTGACCACCAAAATCTAATCAGGTAATTGTTGAGTTCAAATGGACATTTGTGCCAAATTCAAAAAATTTCTTCAAGACATTCTTGAGAAATTGCATTTACGAGAATGGGACAGATGAACGTATACACGTATTTAGGACGGACAACCCTAAAACATAATGGCTCCGGCTGCTGCTATCGCTGGTGCTGAGGCATAAAAATAAGATGCATGAAGGACGTACAGAAAAATAGGATCAAAGAAAAATGGAAACTTAAAGGTACTCTGGTATTTTTTTGTCCACTAGCGGTGCTATAGAGCAGTGTTTCCCATTTTGTTTGTCCCTGATCAACAGTTGTTGCAGGCGATGAGCCAATAAATGTAGCAATGTGCCAACAAAGCCAGCGAAGAAGAAGAGAACCAGCAAGGACACAAGGATGTGAACAACGCAGGACGTAAGTATCTGAAAAAAGTGGCTTTGCAAATATTTTCTGAGGAAGAAAATACATTCAGCACTTGTGTCTGACCTTGAAGATACAAAAGGCTTTTTGGTGAGAAACAGTGAATGAAAACTGCCCGGGGCTCCTTGATGGCTGGATGAGGGGAAGAAGGGAGGAAAGAGTGAAAGAGAAAAATAAAGGACAAGAAGGAGAATGGAAGAAATAACTAAGAAAAAGAATCCTAGAAGAAAGAAAGGAAGAGGAGAAGAATAACAACTGATAGGTAGACAGGAAAAAGAAAAGAGGGAAGGAAACCACAGATGATGAAAAGAATGGAAAAATGAAAGAATAGGGGAAAAATGGAGGCCTGGACTAAAGAAGAAATATGGAAAAATACTAATAATTAAGATGTGAAAGAATGGGAGGAGAAGAAGGGACCAAAGGTGAGAAGACAGGCAGGTTGTGTGATGGAAGAAGTAAAGAAAGGAGGATGACTGAGAGGAAATGGAAATTAAGAAAGAGTGTCTCTCATATTGTCTTTGTCTTCTTCTCCCTTCATCCCTTTCTTTCATTTCTACCCTCCTGTCCTCTCTTGTGTGTTTTGTCCGTTCTGCAAACAAATCAAAAACCCTCCTAAGTTCAGTCTGTGATCCTGCTAACTGTCTGGCTTCCACGTTTGTTTTTGTCATCCAGGATTCAATAAAACACTGTTTGAAAGCTGGAAAAGAAGCAAACAAAACAAGAAACGTGTGAAGGAAGACAGCTGATGGAAAGAAGGGGGGGATTAGAAATAAGGAAAGAACCAAGTAGGGAACAAAAAATGAAAGAAGAAAAAGGTTCATGTTAAATAATCTGAAGATGCATCAGACACTCAGACACGGGTTTGACGTCAGAAAACACTGACACACTCTTCTTCTCTGAGTTTAAAACAAAAATCACAACCACATGAAGCTCCACCTACCGACTGGAGTCTAAAGGTGTTTTCACATATAGTCCTTTTTATACAAACCAAACTCAGTCCTCTCAAAGTGGACCAACAGAAAAGGGACTCAGTCCTCTTTCTTTTATATATAATATATATTGATATAATTTTGTTTTTACTCTGACGTGGCGCTGCAGTGTGGTTATGAAGCCCCTCACTTTCAGATGAACTTAAAACTGGAGGTGTGTCTGTGCTGCAGACTGTTGTTGTTTGATGTATTCTACATTCCACACCTGGAGACGTGCAGTATCTTCTGTGGACCAAACCACTCCTCGTCCTGCGTCCTTGCAAACGTGACAGGCTGATGTGGTTTCGTCTGTTTTCTCAAGCGTCCCAGGTCAACAGTGATCTCATGTGATCTAGAGGGCTGAATACAACGGCAAAGAGAACCTGGAGCGCTTTGTGTTCACAAGGCACAAGTTAAGTGAACCGCACTGTGGACCTGAAGTTCGTCAGAGGAGTCCGAGTTCTCTTGGAGTGTTCACATATGTGCAAAAATAAAACTGATTGATTGATTGATTGATTGATTGATTGATTGATTGAAAAATGCTGAGTCACTGCTCTGAGTCCATTTAGAGGGCTGAGATGAAGCTCCAGAAACTGTCATCATCAAACATACGAGTCTCCGGCACGTGATGACACGTAGACCAACAAAACCTGACAATAAGAGCACTGCCTCTGGCTTTGTTCATGCTTGTATAAAATAAACGTTGTCTCATAACTACACTGAAAATGTGTCGAGATCTGTTTGACTCAAAGAAAACCCACTGAGTGTTTTATCATCACAGGCCGGCAGTGGAATCTGAGTATGTTTACTTTAACTTTAATACAAAGTCTGAGCCTTAAAGACTGACTTCATTATGTCTTTTGTCTGAGCTGCCGTTTTAATTGGTTTCATTTTGAAATGATAAAATCAAACCCAGTACGATGGGAACCTACTGATGGGGGACGCTGGTTTCTGGAGTCCTCCTCTGCAGTTTGTGGTTCTGTTCTGCGGCGGTGGGACCGGTTTGTAGGACTGTCCCGTGGCTCGGTACATGGCCTGGACCCACAGCATCCGGTCCTGCTCGTCGTCACAGGCGTACATCACCAGGTCGCCCTCCTTCACCGCGTTAAAGAACACCCGGCCGCCCTGCAGACCTGAGGAGGAGGAGGAGGAGGAGATTATCTATAGTCAGTGTATGACATGGAGTAAATGGCAGTCAGCGTGCTCCCTGTATGCAGAAGCAGATGGGACGAGCACCCCAGAAGCTCAGTGATGCATCACTCTGGATTACAGCAACAACATTTTTAGCCACAAAAAAAAAAAAAAAATCAACATCAGTCTAACTGGATGATATATTTATAGTATTTTCACGGCCTTACCTCTCTGTCAGACAGCCCTCTTCTTCTTCTTTGGTGCTACATTTCCTCAACTGTATCACTTCCATATTACTACTCACAAAAGCCCAACTGTGCTGTGTACTGTATCACACCGCCCACAGAGCTTTAAGGACGAGACAACAAATACAAGAAAATGAAAAGTAGAATTACTGCCCCCCGTCGTATGCCTCAGTGCACCAGCCCAGTGTCTCTGACAGTCTCCATCCATGTCAGTGAAAACATGGATGCTTCACACACAGAAGATCTATACAATCAGCACAGTTTCAAGATTAGAGTCACCAATTCAGTATCTGACCAAATGTCTCCCCTTCTGTTCCTGAGATATGAAGTTAAAACATGATGATGTCACAGTCAAGCTGACCTTTGACCTTTTGCATAGAAAATGTCATCACAAAAACACATGTATCACAGGCGTATCACAGTACACAGCACAGTTGGGCTTTTGTGAGTAATAATATGGAAGTTGTACAGTTGAGAAAATGTAGCACCAAAGGAACAGACTGACAGAAAGGTAAAGCAGTGAAAATACTGTAAATATGGCGTCCAGTGAGGCTGATGTTGAATTTGTTTTCGGTAGGCCACACCACACACACACAGGGTTTAAAGCCTGCGACACCACACCAGTCCATTAGAACTGAGAAGCGTCTTGGATGAGAGGTGAAACGTCTTTAAGAAACTCAAGCAAGTCCAGTTGCTACCATGACCTGGGTGGCTGAGAATCTTCACCAACAGTTACATCAATGTTGCAATGATTGATGGATCGTTCACAGAGAGTCCACTTGAGGCCTCTTGTGGACTTGATGAGTTTTGGATTTGACAGCAGTTCTTGCAGACACACAGAGAACACGTCTGACAGTGTGGGGAAGTCTGGAGGTTTGGATTCAGCCAAAGAAGTCTGAACATTTTCCAAATGTATTACGAAGCCGTGAGGACCTTGTTCAGTGTGGTCGCACTTGGCCATATGGCAGCATTATAATTACAGTTCTGAACCATGCGTCTCTTCTGATTCATCGTAAACCTCACGTTCTGGATGCTGCACAACAGATTTAACTAAGTGATCATTTCAGTGCTCTCCTGCAGCAGTGTGTGTTTTCTGTGTGCTGTGTGATGACATCAGTGAGGAAGCTCAGGTGAGTCTACCTGGCTGAGGGTCGCAGTAGTCCACCGTGTAGCCCTCCAGCTGCATCAGCTCCTGAGGCTCGGCTTTCTTCTCTCTGTAGCTGCACATGGCGAACGTGTACTGACTCACCTGCAGGACACACACACACACACACACACACACACACACACACACACACACACTGATGAACCACAGATACGGCACACTTAGGAAGCACACACAGTCCTGAACACACAGGTGAATTGTTAACTCTCTCCCATTGTCAGTGCTCGTTTTGTCCCGTAGAGCGCTGGATTGATGACGGAGGTGCAGCCTGTAGTTTGTGTACAGTGTCACGATGTGTCCCAACATAAGCCCACTGTGCGATTTTGGGGCTGGCTCGCCATGGAAGAGTTTTACAAAAGATCCATTGACAGTGATCTAAAACAGAGTTTGCATGAGGACAAAAGGTCAAACAGGTCAAAATATACCCGTGTATGTGTTGACTAGGCTTGAAGCTTATGTTGTACAAGTGAGCAGATTTGTCACTTCCTGCAGACATCTTAGTTTGGTGGAACAAATAAAACTGAAGCCGAACATTGTTCACACCATCGGGAAAGAGGAGTCTTGAAATGTTGTCAAACACTTCATCGAGCATTTCCACCCTCACTCAAGCTCAACAAAATATAATCCAAGGATTCTATCTTTTGATGCCTTTAAAGGACTTTCAATCTGATGCAGAGATATACAGACTTGTGATTTAAAAAGACCAAATCTGAATTTAAATGTCTGCCCTTGCCCTGAAAGTTCCCGAGTGATCACTAAGTGCTCAGAAAGTAAATAGCAGCTGCAGTGAAAGCGCGCAAATGAGAATTTAAGAGACCAAAACTCAATTAACTTTGCTTCAGCAGGACTCTCAGACGAGGTGTAAAAACATGTCGAGTACAGTGACTGAATTGAGATGATTTTATTTAATAAACTAAAAATGGGGGACTGCCTCTCTTTTTAAAACTCTGTAAAATCAAAGACGGAAAAGACTTCTTTAAAAAAGAGAGACACCTGAGTGTGAGGACATGTTTTCTCTGAGGGCAGGAGGTTTGATCTGATGCATCTTAACACACGCAAACTTCTGTTCAATGAGGCATTTCATAACTTCACTGATGCCGGATCTGTTCAAACCGACGCTCGAAGAGATTATTAACGTCAGAGAGCTACTGATTTATCTCAGTTTTACTTTTAACCCTCAGCCTATCTTTTACAGCCTGCACTGCCGCTCTGATCTGAAGACAGTCTCCACATCGATCACAGATCAATAAGTGTCATCTGATCCCGCTCCCGTCAGCTTCTTACCTGAACAAGAACAAAATATCTTCTTTTCCAGCGTTTCCAGACTCTCTGTCCCACAGCGTACAGGTACCTGGAACACAAACAACAACATGACGTCAACTTAAACGAAAAATCAGGAGGTTCTGCAGTTATTTACAAGTCATTAATAAACCAGATATTCAGCTTTTTTTCTGTTTTAATCCACTGCTAACTGAACATCTTTAGGTTTTGGACTATTAGTCAGATGAAACAAAACCTCTGAAGACGTCGACTTGGACTCTGGGAAACAGTGACATCCATATTTTACTATATTCTGACAAATTAGACCAAAAATGAATTTGTAAATCAAAAAAGCTTAACAGATTAATAATGAAAATAACTGTACACCTTTGTGTGGCCATGGTGCTGATACTTTAAAGGAATACTTCACCCCCCAAACAACCCTTTGTAGATTAGTTACTCACTCTGTGCGATGTTGAATTCGTAAAGAAAACTTGGTTTTTCTCACATGCTTCCATGGAGAACAAAGAATCCAAAAAAATTCTAGATGAATTGAGGTCTTGGGGGACCGCGTTTAACAACAGCAACACTTTATGAAAACCTTAGTTTACAAATTCTCACCCAACTTGTGCAGTGTGATCGGAGTCTCCCAAACATTCCTTTCCTATGAGGAGCTAAAGAGAAAGTGAATCTTGACTGTGTTCTCTTCAAAGACAGATCCATTGACAAAATCAGTAATTTTACCTCTCTGAACACAGGAGCTGCTGCTCTACTGCTGCCTCATTTAGCTAGTTTGTTTATATTATTGAATGACTTTGGTGTTTTAGAGGGTTCGTTCAGATCCACCAGAGTCACTCAATAACACCAACAGACTCACTGACTGAGGCAGTGGTAGAGCAGCAGCTCCTGTGTTCAGTGAGGTAAAATCATTGCTTTTGTCAGTGGAGTCTGGCTTTGAAGAGAGCATCGCTAAGTTTCACCTTGAGTTCGGTTTCCCATCAGAAGGGGCTCACTGTTTGGAAGACACTGAGCACAGGACCAGATAAATGAGACCTGGATCGTAGTGCACAAGCTGTTTTGTAAACAAATATTTTGATATAGTTTTGCTGTCAATAAATATGGACACCTTTGACTTTGATTCTTTGTTCACCACAGAGGCATGTGAGAAAAACAATGTTGTCTTCACATATTCAACGTAACACACGGTGAATAACTGATTTAATAGTCAGTTTGGGGGCTGAAGTATTCCCTTAATATTAATAATACAAGGCAATGAGGCATTTAACATGAGGGTATAATCAGAACAATAAAAGAACACTTATCAGACTCTGCAGGTTTTATGTATAGCATGAGAAGGGTACTTTTATCAGTTGATGTCTATCATTAAATAGAAAACACAAAACCAGCCAGACTCAGCTTCTATGAGGATCCATTTTAAGGCTCCTTGATGCATGTCCTCATATGTTTCTATCACACCACATTAAGTCATCGCCGCCTCAGCTGTGAACATTATCAACACATTAATTTCCTCCCCCGATGTGAAAGTAAAAGGAGAAAGTAATGAGTCCGGAGGTGAGAGAGGCCACGACACAGACAGCAGCTCATTGAAGAAGTCTCGAGGAAAATGGAAGAATGACCAGTGTGGCCTCTCAATCAATGGCTGCTCCCGGGCCTCCTGAAGCGTGGGATACAGGCAAGTGCAAGTGAGGAAAATCAATCGATGGCGAGACCTCTTTCTTCAGCCCTGCTGCCCGCCCTTAAAGAAAAGGCCTCCAGTCAAGGCTGCGGCGCGTCTGGACGGAGAATCTGGGCCATTCTGCGCGACTCAGGGTTAACATGTGGCACCGCTCGCCGGCCACTTGTGAAAATTATTTGGCCGGCCGTCCTCCTGCAGGGTTTCAGACATCCATTCAGCTGCACGCCGCCGCGGTGATGGACTGCAGACTCCAAAGAGTTCACTGCAGGCATTTAACAGTCCTCACTGCAAAAAAACATCCATCTTTAACTGGTCATTTAGCTGGATATTCAGACTTTTAGTCAGGGGCTTTTTAAAGAGTCATCAGACACTGGACTCATTCTATTAAATCTATGGTTTCGCTTATTCGAAGAAACGTCTAGAAATGAGTCGCTAAGTTTCAAATGAGCCAGAATGAGACAAATCACTGCACCAGAGTCGTTCGTTAGTTAGTGTGGAAAAACTGGTTAAATTAGCACACAACATGGGCTGGCTGAAGGGATTTGTGATTGATAGATAAATAATTAATCATTTAAGACTAAACAGCAATGAAGGAGGTTTTTTTTTTTTTTTTTTTTTGCAGTGGCAGAAATTTTAATTGCTTCATAGATTGCCTTTTCTTTTTTTTTTTTTTTGTCTTTTAATTCCAGCACATTTTATTTTCTAAGGCACCAAAAAGCAGCTCCGTCTCCTGCAACAATTATAATTTCACTCATTTTACTTATTTATAAAGGAACAAAAATGTTTAAATAACTTGGCAGAAAATTAGATTTTTTTTTTTTTTTTTTGCAGTGACATCTGCAGAATTAAACTGAAAATTAAATTCAAGGTTATCGTTATTAGTTTTTGTAGATTTATAAATCTCATTATATCGGCTCATTTTGTCGCTTGTTTAAATAAAAGAGCAAATATATTTTTTGCACATTAATAATGACATAAATTACTTTTTTTGTGTGTGTGGCAGAAATGTTCCACTAAATGGTTTTCATATTAAGTCTGTACAACATTTTATAGGAACAGATTTTGTTTTTTGTTCTCAGTCATATTCTCACTACATTCGAAGATATTTTTTACTTGATTAAGAAAATATGATTTTAGCAAAGGAGTCATTTTCAAAGGGGAAACATCAGCGCATTTTTCTCCTGATTTCACAGCATCCCCTCCCCCCACTCCTGACAGCAATCACACTATTAATTTACCTACAAGTTAAAAATATTCTGGATTTCATAATTGATCATAAAATCATGACAATCATTAATTATAAAGGAGTCGACTGCAGGCTGCATTTTATGTCATTTTTTCTGTTGTGATCACAGTGAGATCTTCTTGTTCCTCTTTCATACGATGAAGATTGAACATCCTCTGAGCTCAGAAACACGATCAGAAAGAGCATGAAGAACAAATACTGTCTCCATAAAGTGTTTACTGATCACGACAGGAAAAAAAAAAGTGCTGTGCTCTCAGTTTGAAAGACAAAAATGAAAACAGATCCGGTTCCCTTCAGCAATCCTCCATGTGGAGAACCTCACTGCTGTTCACACTGAGCAGCTGACAGGTAGAACATTTACTTCACTGTCGTCTTAACGCATCAGAAAATACAAGCAAACATCAAACGTGTCAGCTGAGGACAGAAGTGTTCCCAGTTTGTTCACTTTTTCACTCTGAAATTAAAATGTCTGTCGTTCTTTGAAAATATTCACAACCCAAGAAAAAAAATAAATAAATCACACAAATATAAAACATTTCCTGTTTGTTCTCTTTTTCTTGACTTGAGCATCAGACATTCCTGTGTCCGTTGGCCTCTTCTTTGGTTTTATTTCTTTGACGTGTGAGGAGTCATTTTTGTTAACGTGAAATATGTGGAATATCTTTGGAATAAAAAATGCAGCGTGCAGGCCCTGTGCGCCCCGCGTTAGTCTTAAGATCAAAGATTCACAGTGAAAACAGCATCAAATAACCTGACTGGAGAAAAAAATAAAAACACAGGATGACACCTTTCAGCAGGTGGATCACAGATTGTGTCTGTAATGAATCAGAAACGACAGAAAGACAGTTTAAACACAGTAAGAGGAGCGGGATGTGAAGCAGAGGCGAGCTGCACTCACAGGCAGACGAACACTGAGCCCTTGTGGAGGGTTTTGAAAACTGCACTGAATCTTTATCCTCCTTTCTTTTGTCTCTCTGTCGGTCAGTCTGATTTCAAAGCTGCCCGACTCCCACAGTGTTTGTCACAGTAACAGAGTCTGCGGGCTCCTGCAGGACGCTGACAGGAAGGAAAAGGGAAAACTGAGGAGGAAGTCTGACACAGAGGGCTCTCAGACTGCCTCATCCCTCCTCTACCTCCCTCTACATTCCTTTACAGTCACTTGATTAACTCTAAAGACGAACTGTGAAATAATGGCACCGACTCATAGTAATAGTCTGAGCGTCCAACACAGAAATACATTCAGGATGTGCCAACTGAGCACAAAGACTTGGAAGTTGGAAGCAGGGAAAACAGCTGATCGTTCTGTCACGAGAGAAAAAAGCCTCAAAACAAAACCATCTCTGCTTCACTTGAACTGGGAAAATATTCTGTTTCTGGTTTTAACTGGACTGAACTTTACAACCTGCATTTGATTGAGCAAAATTAGTGATGAGTGATGAAAAGAGGGATCGTACTGGCGAAATGTCAGATGAAATCCTCAAGCCCTGAACAGTCACATCGTGCACCTCCTCCCAAAAATGTTTTCTGCATTCCCAGAAAACATGAACGACTGACCTTGAACATGTTTTACATCTGTGACATTAAGAGGACGAGTTATATATCTTACTCAAACGTAGCGGGCTAAGAAACATCCTGTGCATACATCTATAATTCTGCTCAATTATTTTGTTACAAGACATGTGAAAACACTGTGACTTTCCACTGATCATCAGTAAACTCACGACCCAAATCTTTCTGCTACACTACTCCTGTGATGTTTGACCTTTATTGTGCAGAACAATGTAAGCGCAGAGTTTGTTTTCACTTTCATTCAAAGTTTCTCTGAGTCAAAATGTGCCGACTGGGTGAAAAGCAGGACAGATATTCATCATAAATACTAGTAGGTTGTAAAAGAGCAATAAGTGGTTGAAATGGTCGAGTAAAGAGCTTCCAACAACCCCTGAATGGACAGAAATAGTTACGGAACAGCTGACTTTTTCCCCGAGACAATATTCAGAAAAATGAAATCTGACTCTGAAGTGATCTGATTTGATTGGTGAGTTTTGTTTTGTCCCCCTGGCATTGGGACATGAAAGGTAGATGGTGGCTCATTGATAAGTGGAAGATTCCTCCCTCCCTGGAGGTGTCCTGGGTTTCAAGGGGTCAAAGT